TCTATCCTTTGGTATTTCTATCTATCTATCTATCCTTCGGTATTTCTATCATCTATCTATCTATCCTTCGGTATTTCTATCTATTTATCTATCCTTTGGTATTTCTATCTATCTATCTATCCATCCTTCGGTATTTCTATCATCTATCTATCCTTCGGTATTTCTATATCTATCTATCCTTCTGTATTTCTATCTATCTATCTATCCTTCGGTATTTCTATCTATTTATCTATCCTTTGGTATTTCTATCTATCTATCTATCCATCCTTCGGTATTTCTATCATCTATCTATCTATCTATCCTTCGTAATTTCTATCATCTATCTATCTATCATTCGGTATTTCTATCTATCTATCTATCCTTTGGTATTTCTATCTATCTGTCTATCTATCTATCTATCTATCCTTTGGTATTTCTATCTATCTGTCTATCTATCTATCTATCTATCCTTTGGTATTTATCTATCTATCCATCCTTCGGTATTTCTATCATCTATCTATCTATCTATCCTTCGTAATTTCTATCATCTATCTATCTATCATTCGGTATTTCTATCTATCTATCTATCCTTTGGTATTTCTATCTATCTGTCTATCTATCTATCTATCCTTTGGTATTTATCTATCTATCTATCCTTCGGTATTTCTATCATCTATCTATCTATCCTTCGGTATTTCTGTCTAGTTATCTATCCTTTGGTATTTCTATCTATCTATCTATCTGTCCATCCTTCGGTATTTCTATCTATCTGTCTATCCTTCGGTAGTTCTATATCTATCTATCCTTCTGTATTTCTATCTACCTATCTATCCTTCGGTATTTCTTTCTATCTATCTATCTATCTATCTATCTATCTATCTGTCCTTCGGTATAGCTATCTATCTATCTTTCTATCTATCTATCTATCCTTCGGTATTTCTACCTATCTATCTATCCTTCGGTATTTCTATCTATCTATCTATCTATCTATCTATCCATCCTTTGGTATTTCTATCTATCCTTCGGTATTTCTATCTATCTATCTATCCTTCGTAATTTCTATCATCTATCTATCTATCTATCTATCTATCTATCATTCGGTATTTCTATCTATCTATCCTTTGGTATTTCTATCTATCTATCTATCTATATCTATCTATCCATCCTTCGGTCTATCTATCTATCTATCTATCCTTCGGTATTTCTCTATCTATCTATCCTTCGGTATTTCTATGATCTATCTATCTATCTATCTATCTATCTATCTATCCATCCTTCGGTCTATCTATCTATCCTTCGGTATTTCTATCTATCTATCTATCTGTCCTTCGGTATTTCTATCTCTCTATCTATCCTTCGGTATTTCTATCTATCTATCTATCTATCC